AGGTTCATAGACTTTTAGAAGAAGCAAAGTAAGCTGACCTGGTATGCAAGTGCCCTTGGAGCACTAGGCCATGGTCCACACCCAGGCGTGTGGAGGGGGGTGGAGAGCTGGATTCTGTCTGGAATGCATGCATATATATTATGTAAAACTAAAAACACACAGTGTAGATGAAAGACAGATTGAGCCATAAGTGCCTGCTCCTTCTACCCCCAAACAAATATTCTGAAGCCCCTCTGTCTTACCTAAATTTCCTCCTGTGTTGACCTTTTCCTGCCAAGGTCTTCTGTTGACATCCGTTTTAATACTATTTCACCAGCATAAAAATATGTTGGGAGCTGGCTGGAGGAAGGTGTGTCAAGGAAGAAGACAAATACTATGCCATGCAAAAGGATTTTGCTGAAAGGATTTTTCTTAAAGTAGCTCCCATGGATTTTAACGTGGAGAGTAGAACAGAAGGGATTGGTGGTTTTAGATGATGGACATCATTTAGGCCACAATTTTGTCTTCCTAGTTAATTGAAACATTCACAGTTGGTGACTGACTACCTCTCAAATAGGTTTTCATTTGATCGGTTTGTGTTTTGATTTCCAGTGCTGCCAAGTTTAATAGACAGACTGGGAGATGCTAAAGACTCTGTGAGGGAGCAAGACCAGACTCTGCTGCTGAAGATCATGGAACAAGCTGCTAATCCCCAGGTAGGGCAAGGGAGGCATTCTGTGGCCAGCTGGTGTGCATGCACTCCCCTACATCAGTGGGTTACTCTATATGAAAAGATTTTTTTTTTAAGCTGATGTATTTCAGATGAAAATTTTCATAGCCTTTAATCTGTGCCCCTCTCCCATATTTAAATAAATAATGAATAGCAAAGAATATACTTTGAACAAATTAGTGGACATAACATGGATATTGAATTCTTTGGTTTAATCTGTTAGACTCTTGAGCTCATTTTTTAACTGATTCTCTGTTTCTTTGCCTGGGGAGTCAAGAAACCTGGCTGGAGCCTTAATCCCTGTCTGCTAGTAAGCTGGGATTTCTGGGACAGATGGACAGAGGGATGCAGGGTCCCAGGGTCCAACTATCCATTGTTGGGGGAGTGAAGGGATATGTTATCAGAAAAAGCCTCCCTAAGGAAGCGGGTAGGCTTAGGGGAGCATGATCAGTGTTGATTGACATCAGTGGTTGCTCCCAGAGTGGGGGAGAGCAATTGGAACAGGCCTGAGAGAACTTTTCTGAGATGATGGACATGTTCTGTCATCTAGACTGGCCTTAAAATATGAGCAGGATAGGGCGGGGTCAGTATTTCTAGGCCAGGAGAGCAGTATAAGTATGTGATCTTTGGGAAGTCACCCAACCTCTTTTGGCTTCACTTTCCTCACCCATAAAATGAGAACAGCTATACCTTTTTTCAAGGTCATTGGGGAAATTAAATGCAATTATATAAAGGAATATGTTTTGAAAAACATTTAACTTGATCTACAATTATAAATCACGATTTTTCAATAAGTTATTGAGATGACAAAATGGATTGGTGGTGGCTGGGACTAATTTGGCACCTGTTGAGAGGTCCCTCTTATTTTGGCCCCGTGTTAAACAAAGACTCCAGAGGTCTCCTCCTCTTTTTCACCTGTCCTTTGTCATCTGCAGTATGTGTGGGACCGGATGCTGGGAGGATTCAAGCACAAGAATTTCCGGACTCGGGAGGGCACATGTGTCTGCCTTGTTGCCACACTCAATGCGTAAGTCTGGGTGGGCCCTAAGTATTTCCTTGGCTGTGCTCTTTTTATTTCTAACTTTTTATTTTGAAATAACTATAGATTTCAGGAAGGTGCAGAGAAATTTACTGGGAAGTGCGGTGCGGTATACCCTTCCTCCCCTTTCCCCCATTGTTAACATCTTGCATAGCTATCTATAGTGAAATGACAATACCAGGGAATCAATATTGATACAATCCACAGAGCTTATTCAGATTCCTTCAGTCACACACACACGTGTGTGTGTGTGTGCAGTTCTGCACCATCATGTCATGTGTAGCTCCATGTAGCTTCCATCACTGTTAAGGTACAGACTTGTGCATCATCTGGGTTCCCTCACGCTGCCCCTTTATAGCTAATCCCTAACATCTGGCAACCACTAATCTGTTCTTCATCTCTATGATTTTGTTAGTTCAAGATGTTATATAAATGGAATCATACAGAATGTAACTCTTTGAGATTGGCTTTTTTCACTTCACATACTTCCCTTGAGGTTGCATATATGTTGTTGCCTAAATGATAATTTGTTTCTTATTGCTGAGTAGAATTCCATGGTATAGATGTACCACAGTTTGTTTAACCATTGACCTGTTAAAGGACATTTGTATAATTTCCAGTTTTTGGCTATTACAAATAAAGCTGCTATGAACATTTACGTAAGTTTCCATATCAACATCAGCTTTCATTTCTCTTGGGTCAATGCTCAAGAGTGCAATCGCTGTTCATTTGATAAGTTTGTTTTTAATTTTAAAAGAGACTGCCAAACTATTTTCCAGAGGTGACTGTACCATTTTACATTCCCACCAGTAATGTATGAATGATTCAGTTTCTTTAAATCCGTGCTCTCATTAACTATTTTCACTGTTTTTTATGTTAGCCATTTTGATGTGTATGTAATAATATCTCATTGAGGTTTTAATTTGTATTTCCTTAATGCCTGTTAATGTTGAACGTTTTTCATGTGCTTATCTGTGGGAGAGGCTTTTTTAAAATCAAAAATTGCAAATCTCTTTTTCCGATTATGAGATTAATACTATATACGTTTAGAACATTTACACAAAGAAAATAATTACCTATAATTCTACTACCTTCAGATAATTACTATTAACTGTGATGCATTTTATTTCAGCCTGTAAAGTTATATTGTTTTAAAAAATAAGTTGGGATTATAATATTTGCATCACCATGTAATTTTTTCCCTTCTAATGTGTTAGCCTTTTTAGTGCCATTAAATTTGGCTAAATGTATCTAAGCTTTTAACAAATGTTTCTAGCCTTTGATCACAGTTGTGTCACATTGTAAGAATTTATCCTGAGGAAGCAGTAAGATTATTAGAGAGTGTCGTATTCATAAAAGATATTTGCGGCAGCGTTCATGATGGTGAAAAGTTGTAAATAATTTAAATGTTCTCTAGCAGTGGAGTGTTTAGTTGGATTCACCAGCAGCCATTTTATTGTAGTTTTTTCATTCAGCGGTTATTAACTGAATGTCACTTGTATCAGAGAGCTGTGTACAGATGGAGAATTGAGTGAGGACCTTCAAGGGACTTCCGGTTTAGTTGAGTGTACTGAGTTGGGCAAAATAGGAACCATTACATGTTAATAGTAATGCAGAAACAGCCATATGTAAGCCAAGCAAGACTGAGAAAGCTGAGGCTCTGGCATGGCCTTAAAGTTTTGAGGCCAGATCGGAGAGAGCCCTGAATGCCAGGGAGAAGACATGTTAGTGGGAGGCACTAATGGTTTGGAATTCTGTGCAAAAGGGCCAACATGGTGCATTTATTTTGTAACTAAATGAGAAAGAGATGGGGAAGATGGGAAGGGGAGAGCCTGGGTGTGAGGTGGTGATTGGGCCCTGGGCATGGGGAGGAAGAGGTGAATATGGGCAGAGTAGCTTCTTGTCTTTGTTCTCACCAACAGTAAAATGAACACTTCTTTTATTTTCAGCTCTGGAGCACATACTTTAACACTAAGCAAGATTGTGCCACATATATGTAATTTACTTGGAGATCCAAACAGCCAGGTGAGTGTATTTAAGAAAGAATAAACATTGGTTATAGACAGTTCTAAGATGCATTTTGCTGTTCTGTGTATGCCTGATAGGTGGGTGGGACTTTATTTATCTTCATAGAACTCTCATTTTTGTTTCAGGTAATTAATGTTAATGCTCATTAGCATTTACAAGGTATCATCGGTAAATGTGGTAGGCACTCTGCCCTCTACAAGGCTCCCGGACCAGCCTCCCAGATAGTATCACTCTGCACCATCTCTGCCGCCAAAAGCGGGGAGGCTTAGGGGAGCATGATCAGAGCTGATCGACATCAGTGGTTGCCCCTGGGGTGGGGGGAGAGCTATTGGAAAGGGCCAGAGGGACCTTTTCTGAGATGACGGACATATTCTGTACTTTAGTTTGGGTGTTGACTATCCTGGGGCATACACCTGTAGAAACTCCTTAAACCCTTTAAGAACTATGGATATTATTTTATGTAAATTTTACCTAAATTAAGAAAAAGAAAAAAAGAAACCAAAGCAGACTTCCTTAGCATGAAAGGTGGGAGAACCCGACCAGGCAGTTTACGAAGCTTTCCCAGTCTGGCTCCCGAAGTGCCAGTTCTCTCACCTAGTTCAATATATCGCTGAGTCATTTGTATTAGGTTGGCTCATACAGACTAATAAGAAAAACACTTCATTAGATAAAGGGGCTGAAAATAGGAACAAGAATTTACCAAAAAAATATATGTATAGTAAACAGGGATCTCATTTTAAATCTTGATTGATGATTGTTAAAGTGCCCTCCAGAGGGGCTGGGTCATGCTCTCGTGCTTTCACCAGCTCATAGGTTCCTCTCCTAGGACGCTTCCCATTGTCTTATCCTTTCTTCTTCATCTTCGCCCTTAATCCCAGTTGCATTTTCTCACCTTCTCTCTGTTGTTCTGTTATTCTGCTTTCTTTCTGTCCCTAACCTCTCCTCCTGCCTGCTCACTGCCCCTGTCTATTTTCTTGGTCTCCCTTGCTTACACCTACATTTTTTCTTTCCACTCACTCTCTTACCCAGCTTTCATTGAAAATAAACGATATCGAAAATATAATTTCTAGGTATTTTTATTTACTGAATGCTACTTTATATTCAACGTTAATTTAAAAATAAACTATTTAAAAAAGATTCTGAATTACCAACTGAATTATTCTGTCCTGCGAGTTTAGCTCCATTTTTGTTTTCTGAGGAGAAAAGCCCATTATAGAGGTCACACCTTGAGGACATCGCTGCTGGTACCCTTGAGTGGAGTGGAAAAGCCAGCCTGGCTGGTTGCAATTATTTCTTCCTACTTCATTTGCTTACATTGGCCACACAGGTGATGTGAATATTCATACTGGTCCTATGGGTGATGCAGGAGCATTGGGGGTAAAATGAGGCTGGTGCTCCTTGGGTAGCTGTCAACAATCTAGTAGACAGATATGCAGCCAGAACATTCCATACTAAGCGTGCTGAAGGTAATCCACGTAGTCACACCTGCCTTAGGAGAGTTTTGTCGGCACATGTGTGTACAAATGCACAGGCACACAGATTCTGCATCTCCCAGAACCCCTGTTGCCAGGAAACTTTCCCATCTGCTTCTCTGATACTGATCCAGTTAACCATTCCTCCTTCTGGAGTACATATGTATGTTGCTTGTGCTCTTGCCTTTATTTTAACTTTTTTGCAAGCCTTTCTTGCTAGTCTCTGACCCTTGAGTGTCAGGAATATAACTTGCCCCTCATTATTGTCCCAGGACTGCCTTCTAGTGGTTTTAGGATTGAATAGACACCCAAAAGTTATTAGAATGAGTTTCTCTTCTTAGCTATTTAACGTCTCAGACCAGAAAGGACAGTTGTGTCTTGCGAGTCCTATCATTGCACTCCAGTGCCTGACATTGTAGTCAGCCTTCGGCTCTAGTGTGGAGAGTTTACCCATGTCTCTCAGGTGGCCACTGACATGGAATTTGAACTCTGGACACTCCTGCCTTAGAGGACGTGAGTTCATTTGAATATTGGCCTGAATGCAGAGTGACTAAGAGCTGGGGAAGTCCCTAAGAAGCTTCTCAGAGTGGCCCACAGATAGATCTATGGAACCTGTATTTAGGTGCTTTTGGCTACAAGTAATTGAAAATCCAACTTAAAATTGCTAGAGCAGGGGAGAAAATCACTGTGCCACTAATGAACCAGGGTTCGTTAGTGGCACAGTGATTTCCCTAGAGACTTAGAGTCTCAGTGGCCGCCTCAGTTCTTGGGCATTGCCCTCTGTAGCTCTGCTTGCCGGCATAGCACAGTGACAGCCGAGCTGTATGAATGTCAGGCCCGTTAGATGAAAGCTGGGTGCTTCCTTTGTTCCTCCCCTATTTTTAATTTTTCCATATTTAAGGGTTCAAACTTACATAGAAGTAGTGAAAATGAAATAATGCATCTCCATGTGTTTATTATTGAGCTTCAGCAACACTAATATGACAAGGCTAGTTTAGTTTTATCTATTTTTGAGATCTCCTCCATCCATATTTTGAAGCAAATCATAGACACCATTTCATTTAATTCTTAAATATTCTAAAAGATAAGGACCCTTTTTTTCCCTTCAGAACCATAGCCTTGACACTGTTATCCCTCCGTCAAGAATGAATAATTCTCTCGTATCATCAAATACCCAGTCAGTGTTCCTAAATGTCTCATGTTTTTTAGTTTTCTCCATTTCTCTTTCCAAGAGGAAAGAAATGTTTTCTTGAAGCTTTCCTGCAGCTTTCCCCCTGTTTCATTTTTGAGAATTACATTCCATGGCTCTGTTACCCAGCGACTGGGAAGGGACTAGGGTTATGTGCTGGCCTTACACTAGGGAACCATAACTGTACTTCCTGAGTAGAGAATGAGGTTTCCTTCCTTGAGGTGAGAATTGTAGAACAAGGCATGTGTTTGTTGACAAGAGGGATGGGGCAGTGGCTGTAGCAAAGGCAGCCTGTGGTCTAAGACATCATATACAATAGAAAGTCCTTATTCTAGATAAGGAGCTTGATACATTGTCAGAGCCTAAAAACATCTTAAAATGTCTGCGAACTGTTGATCTCCATGCTCTTCGCTGCTGGACCTGGACTCTGGGCTGTGTTGACAGTGCTCACAGCTGGGGAGAAGGAAAGCCTATGGTGAGAGCTTGACTGATGCCTGAAAGGTGGGATTAGGGGTAGGATCGCGGGCCCCAGTCTGCAGTGCTGTGCAAATGAGGCCCTAGCTGAATCTAGGAAAGTCTGTGACATCTGCTCTTCAAGGCAGTTTGGCTGTGGGGCTGTGCTGCTGTTCTCAGGACAGGTTAGGTTTGGCTTCTGTCAGTTTATAGGTTCCCTCCGTCCCCCTGGAAGTGAAGCCCTCCCTTGAGTTTTAGGTTTTGTGGGGAAGCCCTTATTTTGACACCCACACTGGACTGCAGTGTGCTCAAGTGAGAAGGATGTGGGTTCTGCATTTAGAGAGATGGAAGGCCAGCTCCCTATGCTGCCATTTATCTGCCGTGGGCAGGCTGCTAGCCTCTCTAGCCTCCATGTCCTCCTCTGTGTCACAGTCCACAGTGGCCCTGTGAGGAAGGTCATAGATTTGAAGAAGTCACATTTCCTAAAGCATTTAGCTTGGCCCTGGCAGGTAGTGCTTAACATGTGGGGTTCTTGTCTTTTGTAGTCTTAATGGCCTGAAATGTTGGGGTTCCTTTGTGGTGAGTTCGAGGGTAGGCAGAGGCAGCGGGACCCGTGGGGCTGTGTGTAGAAGTGAACACTACTATATTGTCCCTTCAGCCTGAACTGAGTGCTTTTACTGAAACTTCACTTCTCAGTTGGAGAAGAGCAATTTGTAGTACCAAAGAAAATCTGTTCTCCTGTATTTGTTGAATCAAAGTTGTTTTACACCCCGAAATGCTGTCTAACCCTGTAGCTTTTTTAGCCTGAAGAATGATTATTTAAAGGTTAAGGATGTTGATTTAAAAGATGTAGATAATCCTAGTTCCACCTACGATCGCTTTGAGTGCTTTACACACACAACCTAGAGGTCACAAACTTATGGCCTAAAAGCTAATTTCAGCCTACAGATTGATGTGTGTGGAAGTACGTGTATCTGCACAATGTTTTAATTTTTCATTGAGTTTGGGTGATTTTTATGCTGGAGATTGAAATTTCTGACTTCTCTCAAAAGATTAGAAGATGTGGTAGAGCTGTACTTACATTCCTCTGTGACTGAGTGATGACAGTCTGTTTTCCTGAGCCTCCACATTCCCTCTTCTGTCTCTGCCAGCAGGGTCCCATGCCAGTGCCAGTTGTCATTGTACACCCACCCTTCTCCACTTAACTATCATGTTCCCTGCCTGGGCTGTATATGCACTTGAGTTTGGCACCTGGTAGGCACTCAAACATTTGTTGAATGAATTCATTATTTCTTTTAGTATTCAAAATATCCTTCAACTTAACGGAGGATGAAATCAAGACCGAAAGATTTTAAATATTTTGTCCGAGGTTATGCCGCTCCTGAAATGGCTGAGTAGGTATTAAGGTCTCCCTCTCTGGTATTAAGGCTAGTAGTTTTTCCACTAAATCTCTTAAACTCCATATGGCCTGGAATTTCTAAGTGGTGGATAAGATATTGATTGCTCTTTAAGGTAATCACCCAGTGTGATTGGCTCTGAGCAGATGTCATCACTAGAACTTAAGCAAAGGTAGTGCACTTATTACTGATATTCAAAACACAGTGGCACTGACTAGTTTTGTAATATATGCATGTTTCCATATAAAAATGTTTTCTAACATCAGAAATTATTTTTTCTTTTCCAAAACAAACTGATAACCCATGTTAGTCAGTTTGGGCTGCCGTAGACCAAGTGGTTTAAATAGCAGAAATTAATTTCCCACAGTTCTGGAGGCTGGAACTCTGAGATCAGGGTGCCAGCATGGTCAGTCTGGTTCTGATGAAGGCTCCCTTCCTGGCTGACAGATGCCGCCATCTCGCTTTGTGCTCACAGGACCTCTTTGTGGGTTTGTAGAGAACTCTTTGTGAGCTCTTTGGTGTCTTTTCTTATGAAGACAACAATTCTGTTGTATCAGAGTCCCACTCTTATGACCTCATTTAACCTTAATTACCTTTTAATGGGCCCTGTCTCTGAATCCAGTCACACTAAGGGTTAGAGCTTCCACATAGGAGTTTTAGGGGGCACCGTTCAGTCCATAGCATAAGGTTTTGGGTAAGAAGATAATATGGCCTAGGGTTTGCCTTTTGCCACCACAAGGAGGAAGAATTACCTGTCCTATAACACTGTTAAATTAAAAGGTAGCCTGCAATACTCAAATTGTAAATTACTGTATCCCTACTTCTTCCCTCTGTTCTTTATTCTCTACTACTTGGATTTCATTGCTTGAGCCCAAATCTAAAATCATGTTGTTCCTTTGTCTTTACCTACTTAATTAAATACGTATCTCTCCTCCTCTACACCTTCCATAGGCTTGCCTTGGTTACATTTTATATTAAAGAAAGTTTTTCCTCCCACCTTTTTATTTGCAAAATGTTAAACCTGTTGAAAAATTGAAAGAGTAGTATAGCGAACACCCATATTTACCAGTTAACATTTTGTTACATTTGTTTTATATCTCTACGTATGTGTGTACATATGCACATACACAGAAATGCACTTTTTTTCCTGAACCATTTGAAAATATCTTACAGATATGATCGTTTTACTCCTAGATGCTTCAGTGTATATCTCCTAATAACAAGGATATTTTCCTATATAACCACATGTTATTTTCACATTCAAGAAATTTAACGTTGATACAACGATGTTTGATTTACAGTTCATATTTAAACTTCCCCAAGTTTTTTTCTTTTTTTTTTTTTTTTAAGTCTGTTTTGTCTCTTGAGCCTTATTTATTGCTGCTTGTAGTTCATATCTGTGTTTGGCTGGGCTGCTTACTGGCTCCTCCTAAAGCATATGCTGTCATGTCTGCTTTTGTGCCTTTGCACAGAGCATGCCTGGTTTGGAACCTGTCTCGTTCCATCTTTACCTGATAAAATGTGGTCCTTCTAATAAGCACATTTTAAGTGCTTTCTTTCTCTTCCATGAAATATTTCTTGGTATCCTTTGGAGTTCTTGTTTCCTCCCCTAAAACGTACGAGCTCTTTGTACTCTTGTATAATATTTGTTACATCCTGTCCTGTGTTAAATGTAGAATTTAAGGACTTTTTCCCATTTCCTTTTTAGGACAATGAGTTGCCTTTTTTTTCTTTTCTTTTTTTTTTTTTTACTTCTCATTTTTAATATGTTTATGACCTTCTTGAATATTGGGCTCTGTAGCCTGTACTACCCATTTTTGTTTCTCACTAACTGTTTGACCCAAATCCAGAATACTTTATATGGGTTTTATTTTTAGTATAATTAATTTATTTGTAGTGTTTCTAATTTGGAAAGCTGCCCTGAAAATTCTAGTTTCCTGACATCATCTTAAAGAATGAAAAAAATTAAGGAATAATGAACTTGAACATGTATATAAGGATGGAACCCAAGAGTTTTCTACTCTTTGGAATTGGACTCAGAGTTAAAACTGTTAAACGTGGCTTTATCTAGTCAATTGTCTGGATGGGATTGTATTCAGTCATATTGGTAAATTGGTGATAAACTTGGGATGGTGTATAGCCTGTTGTGTCCCAGCAAGAAGTGCTGTGGAATGATACAGAGCAGCTGTAAGATCTCTTCTTTTACATCTAGGTTCGAGATGCAGCAATAAACAGCTTAGTGGAAATTTACAGACATGTAGGAGAACGTGTGAGGGCAGATCTCAGTAAAAAAGGATTGCCACAGTCCCGGTGAGTTCAGACTATTTCTTTTATTCTGTTCTTTTCACCCTGCTCTTTCTTAGTTAACATCTTGGTTTGTACTACTTATTTTGTTGTGGTAATTTTATTCAAAGAATATACGGTTAGCAGATTGGTGGTGGGAGATCTTGTCCAGATCATGTGTCAGGGGTCCCCTCCCATTCTACTTCCTCAAAAGTAAGACTTTCTCACCTGGACATCTGGCCAGGTCTCATGTCATGTGCTCATTTTAGAAGCGTATTTAAAATTGATTGAACCAAAATTCAGCATTCTTTTGGTTCATATATCTTATGTATACATAACACCTAGTATAGTAGATACTTAGAATATATTTGAATTAATGACGCCTTTCTAGAATGAGTTTGGATAGAAATATATAAGTAATAATTCTGGACAACATCTTTGAAATGGTAATTTTCAGTTCAGCCACGTCAGCCTCACTGTAGAAATCAATGCAAGGGGATCAGCATCTTTTCAGATCCAAGACAACTTGAGTATACATATAGTATACATATAAAATTCTTGTAGTCAGAATTTAAAAAATCATGAAGAATTGGATATCTATAATCTGAAATATGTTGCAGAGACCTTACTCCGAATGAATTCTAAACCCTTTGCCCCACCTCATTCCTTTAAAGGAGAAAGTACTGTGAAAACCCTGGGAAGTTAGACATTGACTGGACTCACAGAGCAGCTTGTCAGAGCCTGTCATTGTGGCCATGTGTACAGTAGAGTCCCAGAGACATGAAGGGACTTTGAGAGATCATGCAACTAGTAAGAGGCAGAGCTATTTTGAAGCCTTGTTTTCTGCCTCACCTTTTAATTTTCTTTATCTTGTTTCACAAAATAGTTTATGGAGCATCTAGATTTGGGATGGAATATTGAAATATATTGGAGTCACATGTCTTGATGTCTCTCAGTTGGATATGACAGAAGTGGGCCTCTCACTCTAAGGTGGGGGTTCCACGGGCATTTGAGTGGGGCTATACTTCTTTGTTGTTGAGAGTCATATCTGACCCCAGTAATGTTCTCACCATGGCTCCTGTGCTATGTACAAGACAGTGAGGTGAGAATAAAACTTTTCATGTGTTTTATAAGAGATAATCTATGAGAATAGAATTTTTTTTTTTTTTTTGATGTGTTTTATCAACCTTGGCCTTCTAGTCTTTGAATGTATGGTGAGAACACTTAGGAGAGATGAACTTAAAGACAAAAATAGTAAATAGTGTCTTGGGGAAAATCCGAGGCTCGAATGAATGGGAGAGCAGAGTCTAGAAGGAGAGAGCTGTTTTATGATGACATCACTATCATTGTTGAGAAAACAGACCTTGAACAGAAGAACTCTTTCCTGCTCCCATGATGGCCTCACCATGCCGTGCAGCTTGTGGGGACTTTAGGCCATGAACCGACCATCTTACATAGGGGATTCTCGTGTAACGTTCAAAGATTGCTATAGTGAGCTCATAGATCCGGGCAATGACATGGTGAAATTGAAATCTAGAGAGGTGAGTGCAGAAAAGTTAACAGAGCAGGCCTGAGACTGCTGTTTCTAGAAACGCCTGCTTGCAAAGTTGGCCCTGGGCTGGTGTCTGGACATTTGGATTGGGGAAGGTTCTCAATGTTCCCAAAGAGTGAGATGAGAGTGGTTCACTGCACAGGTGTCACGCTGAGCACCTGCTTTCCTTCTGGGAGTCTAGCATTTTGGTAAGTGCTGAGCAGAGGCTGTCTGTGTGACTAGCCCCAATAAAAACCAGGTACTGAGACTCTAAGGAGTAGACAGCATTCCTCATATTGTCACAACACACTGCTGGAGTAGACAGCATTCCTCATATTATCACAACACACTGCTGGAGGACTTACCCATGCCTGTGTGACTCACCAGTGGAGATTTTAGGAAGCTTGTGCTGGGTTCCTCCGGACTTCACCCCATGCGGCTTTTCTCTTTGCTGAGTTTTCTTTATGTCTTTTTACTATAACAATCATAGCTGTGAGTATGACTACATGCTGAGTCTTGTGAGTTGTCCTAGTGAATTGTTAAATATAGGGGTGGTCTAGGGGATCCTCAGTATACAGAGTAATTTAGGTAAGGCCCCAGAGGCAGCTAATGCCAGAGCTGGGACTGGAACCTTCTCCTCCAGACTCCCAGTCATGTGTTTCATGTGTTTTTTTCTACTGTTATTATAAAGGTGCGGATGAGCTTGGGCTTCTGTGAATAGTAATGGGGGTTTCTGCTATCTCATGTTGTGTAAAATCCTTCCAAACAATTCTGAACCAAATGGAGAAGGTAGTCCTAGTGAAACGGACCCACATGCCTCACAGCCATTATTGTAAAACTCTGGCATACACAGTGCTTGGAGAACTAGACTGATAGTTCTTTAAAAACTTTGTTCTAGTGAAAGAAGCTGAAACTTCAAGTTTCTTTGTATTACAAGACAGTTACCTAAGATCTAGCACTGTGAGGGTCAGAGGCTCTTGCTGCCACCTTTATTTTGTTGGAGATGTGTCCAAATGAACAAGACTTTTAAAGAATCCTGCCACTGTTTGGGTAATTCAGTAGCTGCTCTATGTGGCTCTGAGTGGCTGGCTGGATACTTGAATATTCTAGACCTTTGTTACGTCATTATGTTTCTTGTTATTATGTGAACATAGCAGATTTTCCAACTTAACAGGATTCCATAGGATAAATAAAATATTGTAGACTTTGCTTATTACTTTTCTAAAACTTGGATTTAGGTGATATTATTAAGGCATTATTTTTCATCATATTATTTCTTAGAGATGATTCGTCTCAAACATAGCACTCACTCAATGAACTAAGAAATAATACGATGAAAAATAATGCCTTAATAGTATCACCTAAATGACTTTAATAAGACTAATTTCATTTCACAGTTGGGAAGGAGTCTTGTACCATCATCAGCTTCACTTTTGGTCCATATATTAAGTTATTATTTAAGTCTTGTCATCTGGTGGCTAAAATCATATTGAGCCAGATAGTAAGTAGAGATATTCAACAGGATCTTCTTCATGTTAGAGGGTCTCTTCACCCACCTGGATCTCAGCATAGTTAAGCTGTGAACCTCAGTCAGTATAGTATTTGGCCATTTTTACATTGCATGCACATGATATGTATAGAAAGTAAGTACACAATTTATAGCAATTTATTGTAAGATGCCATATAGTTAGGTGCACGATATTGGTGAGACATACTTGACAACAGAATAGAATTGACCACCTGTACCCGCTGTGGCTTACTTTCATAAACAAGGGCTTTCAGCATGCTCTGGCATTCACTGTCCTTCCATTGTATAGTCCAGAAAGTATTTTTAATCAACGTGGTATATTTTAGTTTTCAAAGGCATGGACAAAAGACAGGTCGCTGGTGTTAAGTTTTTTTCTGGTTGGTACCAGAAAAATGAAGGTAATTTGATTTATAAATAGACCTGATGCATGTCATCTGATGCATTGTCACTATGTGATAAATTTACCTTGTGAACCTGCAGTTTTGAATCACTCTCATAATTGTTTTGCTATTTCAACCTATTAAAAATTTTATTAATGTTCACTTGACATTACTTAATGATTGTATTATTAAGGGAAAAAATGGAAAGTTTTTTTACTTTTAATTTGGTTGCTACAGCTTTAGTGTTATAGAGAGAGCCCAAAGAAAGAACAGGATGAGACATGTGCTCTGTGATATCTGTTCTCATTTTTAAATTTTGTTTTCTGTCACAGTCAAATATACAGAGAGAGTTGGCTGAATTTATAAGATACATTGAAAAAAGGCAGTTCCTTATCCCTTCTGCTATTTTCCCTCAGAAGCAAACACTGTCAACTGTTTTTATTGATTCTTTTGTACCTACTGCTGTAAATACTGTGCATCTATTGCTCGCTCTTAGTATTTTGTCACTGTAAGAATTTGACTTTACATTATGAAGGGTGAATTTCAGCTATCTTTCTTTCCTCCTAAGCTCCTTCATATACACTTGTCATGTCCTCATCCACCAAATACAGTCAGGCTTTAATTTTGATTAGGACATTTAGTTTATATTGCGATTATGTATACTATTCACAGCCCACTATTTATTTTAGTGAACTATGGTTACTTTGCCTCCCCACTACCTCAGAACCTTTTGTTTTCCCTGATTTAGTAATTTTCAATTTACTTTCATTTGCAGAGTTGTCTACGTACTTATCATGTACTAATACTGTCTACATACTGACAGTTTGAAAATCTCCTTGAGTCTGTTCCAGTCTGACTGGCTGCCCTCACTGCCTCATGCTTACTTTATCATTCTGACATCTCTCTTTATCATTGATGATCCTGGGGCTTCACTTCTTTTTTCTCTGCAGGTGTCTGTTGTTTTTTGGAGACCGTATCTTTTCTTTCTTGGTTTTCTCTCTCATTTTAGTTATACATATCCTCTGATAGCTTTCTGAGAAAAAGATGTAGAGAAGGAGACTTTTTGTAATATCTTTTTTTTTTTCGTCTGAGAATATCTCAGTTTTATTGTGGCATTGATAGTTTGTCAAGGTTCCAAAATCTAGACTGGAGTAATTTTCATCTAGAATATTAAAACTAATGCCCATTGTGTTACAGCTTTTAGTGTTTCTACTGAGAAGTCCAAAGTCTTTCTGTTTCTTCATCCTATATAGATAAATTTGATTCTCTATCTTCAGTGTATGTCTGAAATTTCATGATGATGGGTTTTATGTGAGACTGTTTTCATTGTGTTGTGTACCTGGGAGCCTTTTAATCTGGAACATCATGTTGTTTGGATCTGGACAAGTTTCTTTAAAAATATAACTATATTTGTAAATAATTATATTATGACCATTTGGACTAGTTTTCTGACTTTTCTCTCCCATTTATAGCTTCACAATTTTGCTGTCTTCTGTGAGATTTTCTCAAATTTATCTTCCAACCATTATATTGGGTATTCTATTAAAAATTTTTTTGTTTTAATTTCTAAGATCTCTCTTCACTGTTC